TTATTATTATTATTATTACTATTATTATTATTACTATTATTATTATTATTATTACTATTATTATTATTATTACTATTATTATTATTATTACTATTATTATTATTATTATTATTACTATTATTATTATTACTATTATTATTATTACTATTATTATTATTATTATTACTAACCAATTTGCACTTAGCCAACATTCTTTTCGCACGCACACATACAAGCAGTAAGTAACACAGCATACCATTTCAACCGACATTCCTAACAGCCAAACCTCACAAAATGATAACCAACCCAAACTTCGCAGGATCGAATACATTCGAGGAGGCCTCCAGCTACATACAGGCTCAGTTCGAAGCGAAAAACAAGAGCACGACGAAGGAAATCTACTGTCACCAAACTTGCGCCACTGACACTAACAACATCCAGTTCGTCTTTGATGCCGTTACAGATGTTATTATCGCCAATAATCTACGGGGCTGTGGTCTATACTAAATCGGCCAATTCTGTATGGGTCTTTGTGTATACGGTATTGTATGCACATGTGGTATCTGTATGGGTATAAAATGGTATTGTATACACATGTGGTATCTGTATGGGTATAAAATGGTATTGTATACACATGTGGTATCTGTATGGGTATAAAATGGTATTGTATACACATGTGGTATCTGTATGGGTATAAAATGGTATTGTATACACATGTGGTATCTGTATGGGTATAAAATGGTATTGTATACACATGTGGTATCTGTATGGGTATAAAATGGTATTGTATACACATGTGGTATCTGTATGCGTATAAAATGGTATTGTATACACATGTGGTATCTGTATGGGTATAAAATGGTATTGTATACACATGTGGTATCTGTATGGGTATAAAATGGTATTGTATACACATGTGGTATCTGTATGGGTATAAACATCTGGTATTTAGGTACCTGCATCTGGTAGTTTAGTTTTATATTCATGGTATCAGTTGATGTAGATGAAATATTTGGCGTTTTATGCATGTAGTTTTTGATCTGAATTGAAGTTTTTCGGCGTGTCTCTATTGGTTTGAAATTATTTCAGCTCATAAAGCCCATATTTTAATTTGTTCCCTATTAAATACACGTAGTTAAACAAAATCAGACAGCTGGGCTTGTATGGGCCACGTTTGAATCGAGTGTGTTCAGTTATGCTTGCGGTTCCATTGTAATCAATATGTATGGTCGGCTTGCCAATATTGAGCGGAGTCTCTTGAAACATTTTTTTTTGTCATGTCCAAAAATTTCTAAACATGGAAATATACAAATTAGGGAATAAAAAGAGAAAGAAAGTGAAATTAAAAAGAGAGAAAAAGTGAGAGAGTGAGTGAGAGAGAAATATAGAAAGAAAAATGATGACCGTTGATTTGGAGGGTTTTTATTGTTATGGTATCTTTAACAAATGTTATTATATATATATATATATATATATATATATATATGTATATTAAAAATAATAATAAAATAATATATATATATATATATATATATATATATTCACATATATATATTTATATATATGTAAATCATTCTATTATAAATAATAAATGTTTTTGATATTTTTGTGCTGTTATGATTAAAAATATTATTATTACTAATATTATTATAACTATTATTATTATTGTTATTATTATTATTGTTACTATCTTGATGATGATGATGACGATGCTAAAGTATGAGGCAGTATCAACATTGTTTATTTATTTATTTTTCTATGTATGGAAAGATCAATATGACGTACTTACATCATCATCATCATCATCGTCATCATCATCATCATTTCCTAGTCATCATTATCATTATCTTCATCATCCTTTCCTTATCATCATTATCATCATCGTTGTCGTCATCTGTCAACATCTTCATCATAATCCCAAGAGTAGTATCATAAGAGATGTTATCATTTTAATGATATGACCATTATTATTTGTAATAATATTATTATTATTCATAATTAAATATTAATTAATTAATTAATTAATTAATTAATCTGGAAATAATCTTCTTACCAGGAAAATACATGTGAGTTATAGAGCGCTTCGTACACTGATTCTTACCAATCTTGCATCCTTACACTTTACTAATTACGATTGCTATTCTTCAAAATTAATAATTGTTACAATAAAAATGATAATAATAATAATTAGTTGTTATTATTATCATTATCGCATTAATATTATTTTTATTGCTATTATTATTATTATTATTATTATTGTTATGGAGGAATACTTAACTTCATTCTTTTGTGCATATTAAATTTTCAGAACATAGGGAACTTATTATTATTTGTTTTATGCTGCTGCTTTTGTTAATATTTGATAAAATGTGTTATTATTATTATTATAATTATTATTATTATTTCTATTATTGTTATTATTATTATTATTATTATTATTGTCATTACCACTGTTTTTAATGTTGTAGTGATAGTAAATCATGGGATAATTCATGGTCATGTTGACAATACTATTATATTTATATTACCATCTTCATCATCGTCGTCGTCGTCATCATCAATTTCTATATTCAGTCTATTGTAATATCTTACTTACTTAATGTCTCAAGAGGCACTGCTTCTACTACTACTACTACTACTACTACTACTATTACTACTACTACTACCACTACTACCACCACTACCACTACTACTACTATCATCATCATTGCTATCGTCATCAAATCAGTCATCATCATTATCACAACTTAATCCTTACAATCCTCATCATCATATCATCCTTCTATAATAACTATCTTGTATTGGCTATCTTTTAATAGGTCCAAACGTATATATATATATATATAATACATATATATATAATACATATATATATATATAAATATAATTTATTTTTATTTTTCAATAAACAACAAAGATTTTTTTTTTATTTTTCTCAGTTTTATCTTCATCTGCTAGCTATAAACATTCCTACGTTTATATATATATATATGTATATATATACATATATAGGAAGATATATATATATATATATATATGAATGTATACATATATATATATAGGAAGATATATATATATGAATGTATATATATATATATATAGGCCCAAAATGGTTACAAATGATACATATATACATGTATATATATGTATGTATAGACATATATAAAAAAAGATTGATTGATTGATATTTGTTTTGATATAAGATCTACATGTTTCCGATTGTCTTTATTCTCATTAACGATTTTTAAAAAAATTTCAAATTTTAAATTAGAACGATAATTTAATAATAATAGAAATAATAACAATAATAATTATAACAACAACAATAATAAAAGTACTAACTCTAAAGAATAATAATAATAATAATAATTATCTTAAATGTTTCAATCGTTATTACTTGCGTACGATTAAAATGACTATGACATTTTTGCTTTGTTATTATTCTTTATATCATTAAATCTTATTATTATTATTATTGTTATTATTTGCTTGTAATTCGCTGATTTTTAATTTCATAAATTTCTCGTGTATATATATATATATATATATATATATATATACATATACATATATATAATATGTATGTTTAATTTTTATAAA